GAGGAACCGTTCTATTATATTATACTCCACGCAAGAGACAATGAAAAAACTACTCCAAAAGTTTATCTACGAAAAAGGTTTATATTTTTTTAGCTTCATTTAAAAGCAATATTTATGTAATTTTAAGCTAATAATAATAATTTATTAGCAAGAATATGGTACAAAAATGTTATGGTGGTACAATCTATAGTTTGCATATTCTGCCACACATATAGTGTCTTGAAAGAAATTTTACATAGAAGTTACATACATTATTATATATACATATATCATATCATTATATTATTTGTAGTGATAAAATATCACATTATTAAAATATATTATTACGTTACCAAATTAATATTATTTTTCACGAATTACATTAATATAATAATAAGTTTTGTCCAAAAGTAGTACATTAGGTAGATTTTTAAAAACTCTAGTAGAAAGATCATAATGTTTCATGATTATACCTTGATTGCCATACAAAAGGTGCTTTTCCTATAGAATTCCAGATGAATTTTTGGCACAGCCAATTTCTCCCCATATCTACTTCCAGATATCTATTCCCGTTGACTTAAAAATGTCTATGTTTTTGTGAACGAATAAGGACATTTCTAAAATATACATACAGGGAAGAGATAAAACTCGAAGAAGAAGGTACGCAACTATCAAGATAGTTTGACTGAATTTAACCAAACTATAATATTCCAAATCTAAGTATAGATGAAACCGTACCGTACCGTATCATGGTTAACAGATTCCCTTAGTCCTTTAAACACATAATATACATCACAACATTTTCATTAAATTTTGTTATTTATTTATTTATAAAAGCTTGCCAAAGCTTGGCACATTAATACATTGACGGAAGAAAAATAAAATACAATTTTCAATGTGTTAAGCTCTTACAGGCAAACATAGCATACAAGAAGTAATAAAATTAATTAAATCAAAACAATAATAAAATTTAAACAAACACTAAACGAAAATCGCTCTCAAAGTCTGAGGTGAGCAACTATGGATGTCCAGATCCAGCTCGTTTAACAGAATGCTCAATCTGGACATCGGTGAATTTCGTCCAAAACGCGTTCTGTTATATATTTAAGTAACACCGTTACCAAGTGATTATTCATAAAGTATTAGTCTTCTTGCATTAATATGTTTTCATAACTAAAAAGTATAATAACTAAATACTTCATGACTAACATTATAGATTAAAGTTTTTTCCCTCACACTCATAATTACAAGATTATTCCAACCTGCTTTAGTAGCACCGTGATGTTGAAAAGTTTATAAGTAAAAGGAGGTTTTGTGTTGTGAAATAGATATTCTTACTTTTGAGTTTAAGCACGTGTTTAAACACAAGTGTAACGTTTAAAAGTCAAAAAGGTCGCTCCTAAAAATATAATGCCTTAAAAGCTTGATGGATTTCGACATTGGAGGCATTGTTTGAGGCTTGGAGTGCTAAAACTTTGCCAACAAATTACTCTGTAAAGTAGGCAATTTAATATTTTTTAAAACTTGATGCACTTTATGATAAATTGTTTCGCTTGGATTTTATCCCTCCACCAATGTTAGTACGAAGTAATACTCCACCAAAATTATAATATAATTTATGAAGACAGCTTATTGTATACGGCTTAATTTACCTACAAAATTTTTTTTTTTTTGTGAGTCGAGTCTTTGATGTAAAATTTATCGTTTTGAAACTATATGCTATAGCTGGCGACTTTATAATAAAAAATTTATAATCTGTTACAATCTTTTTTGAAACTTGAAAACTTCATACCCAGATACCAAGAGTAAATAATTAACCTACATTTTAAAGTAGCTTTGCCCGTGCCAACGTTCTTGTATATTATTTTATGATGACTCCGTTAATAATTAAAATTAATTCACTGTATTTATACACTTCGTTAATGTCGTATACATATAAAACCCGGTTGCATAAGATATTGGGTCTTATCGCTAACAAACGATTTCTTCCGGGCAACCCTAGTTGGAAAAATAGAAAAAGAAACACCTACTATGAGGAAAAGATCAAGAAAAGCATAAATAAAACTAAACTTAAAATCTAAAAAGTAAATTAATAAAAAATGTAATGCGTCAAAATTACATTTTTATTAAATAGTCTAAACTAAATAAAGGGTTAATGAGTCAAAATTAATAAATAAAAGCCAATTACGAGGCAGAAGAGAAATGCGCAAATAAAAGATTCTTAAATAAATTGACAGACTGAGTTCGTCTGATATCTTGGAGGTAAGAAGTACCAAAGCAGGATTCTGTTATGTAACAGGAGGCAAACGGGCAGGAGACACATCTGATGTTAAGTGATACCCATAGACACTCACATTGTGAAGGCTCGCAAGTGCGTTGCCGGCCTTCAAACATTGGAACGCTCTTTTCTTGATGGACCTTAAGTCGAATTGGTTCGGAAATACTTTAGTGGGCAGCTGGTTCACATAGTGGTGGTGCGCAGCAAAAACTTCCTTAAGAAACGCCCAGTTATGGAACCACGCACGTCAAGGTGATAACTACATATCACCTCACACGGATAATTTGCACAGTAAAGAGTTATAATATTCAGTATTAGAAGTAGCAGTTTCAAGCATGTAATGTATATGTCACCGTAAAATTGTAAGCACCGTTAGATTGTAATCTATCTCGCGAGATTGTAAACTGTCGAAAGATTGTGAACTCAACGTACTGCTTACAATTTAACGTATTATTATACGGTAGATTGTAATCTGTCGAAGTGAAACCGTCAAATTATTGTGAAACGGCCATTTTCTACTTTTCTATTGGTTATAAGTGATGTGACATTCTCGGTAAATTAATCGGATCGATTATTTCCTCATTTGTTATTTTTAAAGTTGAACCTAATCGAATCGATTATTTCCTCATTTGTTAATTTTAAATTTAAACCTAATTTAACCATTACTTGTCAAATGTACATACATTACATTAACTTCATGTTTCAATTAGTGTATGGTTCCGAAAATTTTTAAATTATTCAAAAAGTACCCAAAACCGAATCAGAGCACCCCACTATCCACGTGGTCTTGTCTGCCCTACCCCTAGAGTGTATATAAAAAAATCGGAGGCGCAGTGGAAGAGCAGCCCCCACCCGCTGTAACAAAGCACAGGCATTATGCAAGCCGTAGCGGCTAAGGCTGGTCCAAAAAGCCAAAGCTGCGGAGGCTTGAATAAATTGCCTGTGCTTTGGTACGCAAGGGTGGAGGGGCTGCATTTCCCGTAGTGCCGGTGATGTCCAAAAAATGTATTATTATTCGGTTAGGTTAGGTTAGTATATTAATATTTTTTTTTAAATAACTGTTCAACTGAAACTCGAAATCGAATACAAAAACGAATACAAAAATCGATTTTCACTTTTAAAAAATAGATTATTTTTGAATAATTTCAAAATTTTCGGAACCCTACACTAATTGAAACATGAAGTTAATGTAATGTATGTACATTTGACAAGTAATGGTTAAATTAGGTTTAAATTTAAAATTAACAAATGAGGAAATAATCCATTCGATTAGGTTCAACTTTAAAATTAACAAATGAGGAAATAATCGATTCGATTAATTTACCGAGAATGTCACATCACTTATAACCAATAGAAAACGAGAATGTCACATCTCTTATAACCAATAGAAAAGTAGGAAATGGCCGTTTCACAATTTGACGGTTTCACTTCGATAGATTACAATCTACCGAATAATAATACGTTAAATTGTAAGCAGTACGCTGAGGTTCACAATCTTTCGACAGTTTATAATCTCGCGAGATAGATTACAATCTAACGGTTTTTACAATTTTACGTTAACATATATATACGTTCCGATTGTTTTTCCGCAATCGTGGTAACCGAGAAAGTATCTTTCGTCGGTTAAGGAGGTTTTAACTCAAACTCAAAATATCTTTATTCAAGTGGGTAACCAAGTACACTTTTGAATCGTCAAGTTAAATTAATCGTAAATTTACATTTACTACCAGTTCGCAAGTCAAGGGCGTAGAGCGGGTAAGAAGAACTGGCAAGAAACTTTCCGCCACTCTTTTTAATCGCCAAGTATTGTCATACAAATTGTTTGAACTGGAGCAATTCAATCCCAAGGATTAGGATCATTTAAAGTAGTAGTAGGAAGTAGTCCTCAAATTTATAAAAAGCTTTGTTGATTAATTTTCGTTTAACGACGGCTTTGAATTTATTTAGTGATAATACTCTAATTTCGCTTGGGAGTTTGTTGTAAAAACGAATACAATTTCCATATAAGGAGTGGTTTATCTTTTGGAGCCTGGTTGGTCTTACACTCAAATTAGTTCTATTTTATTTATTCAAGTACTGGCGTAAATCAAAGACACTAAATAATTTTTATTTATTGTTTGCTTATCCAAGAACCTCGTTTATTCAATAACGAACTGCCCTACAGTCACAGGTGCAATTCAAAGAACTTATAGCCAAGCAAAAATTCCAAGAATATTGAAAAGAATCATACGTATTTTCATATACTTAAATCCCACAATATTGCGATCTCTAGTCTATTGTCGTTCAGATATAGAAGCTAAACCAGTTTTATAAGAAAAATCTTCTCCGTTTGTGAGTACTATGCAATCATGTAAGAAATATCAATACCTCTTTGTTTTAGTACTGTTTTATTGTTAGTACACATTTGTGTATTTTTTATTTGTATTTGAATACGTATGTGTGAGTTGAATGAACGTGTACATAATAATAACCATGGATTTCAAGTGGTATAGTTCTGTGAGAACGATTTAAAAACACAGAAATAATATACATAATACAAAAAGTCTAATAAAAAATGTGACACAATAATAAGCCATACCATTAGTATGAAAATTAAAATAGCTTAAACAATAGAATGTGTTCTTAGAATGCACTGGAATGGAATTTCATCATTGTCAAGTCAGAAAGCGACATTCGTTGCTTGAACGTTATACAATCATTTTTATTTTAAGATTTGTCTTAAGCCTCAAAATAGGCTTCAGTTATGGCGATTACCTCTTCATCAGCGCAACCAAGCATTCTTTTGACGTCTGAGAACAGGTATAAGTCGCTGGGGGCCAGATTTTAGCCCCCAAATTGAATAGCATACGGTGGACGCAATTGGAACCCCAATTCATAAAATTTTGTTAAAGTTACTAGTATAAGGTTATCAAAATTTAGGTTAATAATCTCGTTAAAAAATATACATTTTCTAATGTGTTTTGATATTAGGCTTATAATTTTCACACATCATCCCAAAATGTTCCTGTGTCGGAAGAGATCGTTCCGCGATAAGGACGTGTCTTGCACACTTTGGGTTATGGTCTTATCTCGTTTTGTTGTGAAATCAAGTGTTTATGCAAATTTTAAGTGCAAATTACTTAAAATGATAATATAGCGGCAAAATTATAAACTAACCTATGTTTAAGTATGAAGGTTCACTTTGCTTGATACCAATGAAATTGTTAAAAATACCTAAAAGTCATAGTCATTTATTCAATTAAGTAACACAATGTACACTTATGAACGTCAATAAAGAAATACATATTAAATGCTAAATGCTTCTAATTTTAAAATTACTACCAGTTCTCAAATCAATGGCGTAGAACGGACGAGAAGAACTGGCAACAAACTCTCCTCCACTCTTTTAAATCGCCAAGTTTTTTGTTTTACACAATTCCACATCTTAAGTAATTAACAGTTTATTAATAATAAAAGGAATATTAAAAACAAATATTTGTCCTCTATCAGCAGTAGGCATGGTGAAATAGGAGCACGCACTTACATTCTCGAGGAAACAACACGCAAATACATATCTAATAAATAGTAAACAAAAATTAAGCATAAGTGTCATTGACCTTGCCCACGTATTTTACTAAAGTTAATACACCCACACTATATACAAATATATAGTGTGGGTGTATTACACAACATATAAAACATATTTTGAACTACAAGTATTATATATATCCAATACATTATTCCATATAAATAAATGTATATGTTTTCATTACTATATATTAAATTTTGATATTTTAATTGAAAAATCTAGTTTACACCAAGTTTAAAGTAGGTTCAACAAAGGTCGAATCGATTTTATCGTTCACAATATCGATATTAAATTAATTATTACTACTTATATGAGTTTCTTTACCAGCAAAGCACCTTCAAAGATGTGTGATAGTTGCCCCTCTTTTTTTCGAAAATAAATATTTAATAAACTTTTCTCCAACATACTATACCCTCACAAGACTAAACAACTATAAAATATGAAATAGTGCACCTAGCAGACGTTTACCTTGCGTAATCAAGCATGATGTTCATAGCATCAGATTCAATTTGAATGTTTCGTGAATTTCTTCGAACGTGCTGATTTGCATTTCGCTTCAAACATTTAACTTCATTTTAACATTTCTACTTTTCCACACCAAAACTATAATAAACTATTTTCTATTTCAGAGCATCATGTCCATCATCGCTATTCCACACATGGGAGACGTTTCTCCAAGAAGTGGATGCTGACGTTGTGGGCTTCAACAACGCGGCATGTTCTCTCGAGACGACAGTGGCTGTGCCGCTAATAGAGAAGACCTTTCACATGAAGGTCCAGGCGAGGAAGCTGTTCGCACATCGTGAAGGCTGTGAAGTCATTCTTGGAAAGGCTGATGACCAACTTAATAAGGTAATTAGCTCTGAACATCTTAATCATAGACACAGAAATAAAAAACAAACTAAGTAGCATGCCAGAAAGCAATAGAAAGAGGCGTACTAAAAATAAGAAAAATACATAAAATTAAAAGCAAAAAAATAAGACGAAAAACAAAAGTGATAGTTGCCTTATATTATGCCCTTAAACAGAAGTGGCAATGGGTAGGGCATATAGGAAGATACACAGATAAAAAGGACTTTAAAGACAACTGTATGGAAAGGACCAAGGGGAAGAAGGAGAAGAGGGTGCCCTAAAAAGAGGTGGATAGAAGAAATAGAAGCGGCAGGAAGCGAATGAAGAAAGAGAGCCGTAGACGGAGGCAGTTGGAAAAAGCTGGAGGAGACCTTTACCGGTGAAGTGGTTCCGATCGACGGTACTGTAGGTAGCTAAGATATAGGATAACAAGATAAAAATAATGTATAAAATGTAAAAAATCTAAGCTGTATATTATCTTTTTTTTGTCATGATTGGAACTTTTAACGGGCTTTATTATTGTTATCATCTTAATCGCAAGTTGGCCACGTGACTCCATCAGGTCATGTGTTGTGCACCAATGGAGATTGTGTATAACCAAAAGAATACACACAATATATACAACAACATATACTTAATGCATGTTGTGAATACAGTCAGGTAAACACATAGGGACTCCATTCGCCTTATTCTAATAATATGTTATCACACAACTTTCTATCCTACCAAATAACTGCTTGTATTTTCCCAACATTCGATATAAGCCAGGTAATTTTCCTTAACATTAATAAGTAATATCTATTTAATTTACTTGATGAATGAACGCATAATGAAGACTTCATTGAAGAAGTAAGCAGTGAAGCAACACTCAAATCAAAATGCTAGTCGTTTATTTAGTTTAAGAGTATTTAATGATTAAATTCTTCGCGATTATAACGGATTAAACAGTACTTATCTGGAGCTCGATATATTCGGTAGTGGGCTGACGAATCTTAAAGAAAGCATTGTTAAGTGCCTAACCTGATTCGCTGTTTTGCTGGTATTTTTTTTCTTAACAATAAGGTATATATGTTTGTCATGTATGCCTTTAAGTGCTTGTCACATTAAAATTTTTATTTTGTGGTTATTTTGCCAACGTATCAGTGTGCCGAGCAGTGTTTGCCTAGTGGCTTCAGCGTGCGACTCTCATACCTGAGGTCGTAGGTTCGATCCCCGGACTTTGTTTGTATGTGCGCATTTAACATTTACTCGAACGGTGAAGGAAAACATCGTAAGGAAACGGGCTTGCCTTAGACCCAAAAATTCGATAGACGGCGTGTGTCAGGCACAGGAGGCTGAACACCTACTTGTCTATTAGATTTACAAAAGATTCAGAAATCTGAAACCAAGACCTAAAGAGGTTGTAGCGCCACTGATTTATTTATTTTATCAGTGTGCCGAGCGTTGGCAAGCTCTTATCAATAATATAAAATAATATAAGCTGAAATTACTAGAATTTTTATTGAATTTTAATTATTTTTAGTAACATTTATGTTTACCGAAATTGACATATGTTTTGACATATGTGGTAAACTTCAATAAATAAATAAATGATCGGCCTGATTATAAAAATCGTCGCATTGAGTCATCAGGGTTCTTAAACCCATTGACTACGTCGAGCTGCAATGCACTTGTCACTGTCACAGTAAATAATTAGTTACAGTTAACAATCTTTAATTAATAAACAAATGTATATTTCTTTTAATATATTGTCCAACGCAACTCTACGCTAGTGATCAAATATTCCATACCCTATATCATTATCCTTATGGAATGGATGCGACTCTCTTGGGAAACCGTGTTTCCATTATCAAATTAATGACCGTTACACGTAATACTTATTTGCTACGCCTCTGTTGGCGGAAAGGCCTCAGATCCTTTATTCCCCTTAGTTTGGTTATGGGCGATCGCCTTAAAAAACACCTGAAATAGACGGAAATATTCCTAAAATGTTAATAATAATAACAATTAAAGCCCGTTTAATTTCTAATCAGTACAAAAGTAGAATATGCAGCTTAGATGTGTTATATAAATTTTTTCCTAATATAGTTATTCTAATATATATCTTACTTCCTTCAGTAGCGTTGATCGAAATCCCTTCACGGGTAAAAGCCTCCCCAAGCATTTTCCAAATATCTCATGGCTTTTTTCTCCACCCGCTTCCTGCTAACGCTTCTATTTCTTCTATCCATCATTTTGGGGTGGCCTCTTTTCCTTCGTCCCCTTGGTCCTTTCAATATTGTTGTATTTAAAGTCCACCTTATATCTGTGCATTTTTCTAAAAGGTACAAAAATTTATTCATCAATCATATTTGGTCCTTCCTTCTGAAATGACCTTAAATTGTTAGTTAGCTATGAAGGTGCTATTGTTTATAGCAAGATATATAAAGTTACATCTAAAACACGTCACTAAAAGGGACACAGTATCTCAATTCGGAAATTGAATCCAAATCCAATTTTCTTGTTTCCTTTAGCTTACAGTAAACGTAAGAAAATTCAAAGATTTTCGATTTGTTGTTTGTTCCTGTTGAACAGTTCCGAACTCTTTTTATATACTTAAGATTGTGATTAATAGATCATAAGAGAACCGGTCAGTGGTGTCTTCTACCTACTTAATGGCTGTCAAATTTAATTATTAATGTCTTAGGATCAGATAACTTATATAAACCTTTTTTATCCTTTTTGATTTTGTCACAAAGCTTTCAAATTAATTAATTACTATCTACTGTATCTTTTAGTCACACCGTTAATTAAATTTACGGTAAGAGCGAAACATGGCCTTAGTTAAAACAGTCCAACACACTTATTGATTTATTATCAATAAGCACTTATTAAGAACGATTAAATACATTAAATATCACAAGAGTACTACGAAGTTTTATGTAAGATGTTCCCGCGAATATAGTGCTTTGATGGTACTTAAATTAAAAGCATAAACCCAACAAATCTGTAGTCATGTTTCATTTTTTTTAATAATAATTCTTTCTACTCCCATGCCAGTATGTCCAGGGACTCTTTTCTATCTCTCTTTTTACGAAAAAGATACCTAAATTAATTCATTTGTGTTACGAGTCTATCGAGATACGCCCCGGCTACATCGGTAATATTATTCACATTACTCATGGGCGAGCGAATTATGTTTCATTGCAGCCGCTCTGCTCTTTATTGATTTAGTCGTCATTATAGTAAGAGAATTTCCGTCTTTTTGATAAAGCAACGTTATAACATTTGTTGCATTTAAAATAATTGATTTTTTTACAAGGCTTAACATGGTTTTAAAGCCCTTTGATAATATACGTAAAACAAAACACATCCTGTGTTTCATTTGATTGTGATTATTCAACGGCATAACCAGTTAAATTTGATACAGACACGCGACAATAATTGCCATTCTATTTGACCATGTTCACATTGTCACTTCGTTTCTTTTTCTCTCGTAAATAATTGCAACTCGTCTGGACCCCATCTTGGTAACTGAGATATTTAGTCAGTTTTAGTCAAAAGACTGGTTTAAAGAGAGACATATTATAATAGCCTCCTTCCAGCCGCGTCTGTGTGAGCGCTCAAAAACCTGACATATACAAAATAAGCGCGGGCGAAGTACTCGTGCATATTGTTAATTCATTATTATGAGAATAACGAGTTTCATATTGGTTTAATTGTATCATTATCTTTACGCCAGGCAAATAATTAATCTGATGGTTCAGCGTAGCACATATTAATTACGCAAGCTATTTACATTTCTGATTTGCTTTGTTTGAATTAGAAAATGTTTTGTTCACAGAAATTTATATTAATTGGAAATATAACATAAATTCACAAAGTAAATGAAAATGTTTTAACTCACGTTTTTGTCACACAAAAGTATAAGTTTTTATTTATTGAAAAATTACATAAGGTAGCTAATCATACAGATGCTAGTCGCTAGGCACATCTCTGTGTTGTGGGTGACCAGATACCATGGTTCTTATGTACATGGAAAATACAAAACAATTAATGATTTGTATATAAAATGTAAAATTCAAAACTATTGTAATTATTTAATTTCAAAAATTAGCGAAAATGTTATCAGACTTCGAAGCTCAATAAATAGTAGAAAATTAAGCCTCGACAACCTTCAAGCTCCAACAGAGTAGGGTAGAGCGGGGCTAGTTGAGCATAGGGGCAAGTTGGGCAATCGAAATATCTCGGAAACTATTCACCATACGCGGGACTATCAAATAGCGAAAAGAAGGAGTGGTAGGAGAGGTAATCATCGCACGATAGCTAGTGGCAGCTCGACGAGTGAGTGAAGTGTCACGGCGTTTTGTTTATTTTGTGACCAAAAAGTAAAAACATTGTTTATCGCAAGTTTTCGTCTGTCTTTGTCAAATGTTCTCTGTTTTCAATCAGGAGAGTGTTAATCTTTCAGAAGATTATTGTATTTTTGATTTGTAAATAGGTTTTGGGTCTAATTCTAGGCATTTATTTACAATCCTACTTTTCTTTTAAAATTCCGGGTTGGGGTAAGTTGAGCAACTATAGCTCAACTAACTCTACGACTTAAACAACTGATGAGTAATGAATCTTTTATTTTTTGTTTGGATGCGGACTTACAAGAGGAAGACTACAAGATGTTCTTACACTACTGAATACTTAAATAATGCTGCAAAGGCTGTCCACGATGAGGGAAAATGTTTGAATACCGCCGCTAAAGTATTCGGTATTGGTTGACTTTTAAATAAATTAAATGAAGGTGATGATTTATGGGCTATACAACACCGAGGGAAGTATATCCTCTCTCACAAGAGAACTGTTGAAAAAATTCTTGCTGCAAATAGCATATTTCTCCAAAAGACGTCCGTCGCCTTGCCTAAGAGTGTGCTGAAATTCCACCAAGCTGAATTGCAAAAAAGATTTCCGGAAAAGAATGGTTGATGATGTTTTAAAAACAAAAAAATCGTAGCTATCCATACAGAAAC